TATATATATATATATTACTATACAAACTCTTTACTATATAAAATTATCTAGAGTTGAAAAAAGGGAAATTTAATTTTAAAGAAGAGCCAAAGAATAATAGTTTAAATAAAAAGCAAGAAAGGTGTTAGGCAAAACAGTTACATCCGTCTAATTGGAATGTTATTATTACAATTGAACCAATAGCTGTGAAATTTAATATTTTTGTTTCCTCTTTACTATATATATTCATTGAAGTCTATTATTGAACAGAAAAAAATAAATGCGACCTCGGAGAGTTTTCGTGTCCCAAACCAGAGAGGGCTAAATGTGTGATGATAGGAAATGACGATTTTTATTGCGAATGTAATGATGGCTACGTCCCCAAAGAAGGTGAAGTAAAGAAAAATAAAGGCGAATGCACAAGTAAGTTTTGATATTTAAAATGTTTTCTTTTTTCATTAACACATGTGTTAAATTCTGAATAGGACCAAAAGGAAAAATATTTAAAATTTCAAAAGTTGATATCACTTAAGTATAGCATGCATTTAATCTATATTCTTATAACTTTATACAGAAGTGTTTAATATAAATAACATATACTATTTTCACATGTGTTATTAAGATTGAAAACTGAATAACGCCACAGACAAAAATCTTTAATATTTCATGAAATTTTTTATTAGATCAAAATGTTTCCAATTACCAGTGTTGTGAAAGTTGGTATCATACATAAATGAAGTATACATTTAAACTATATTTTAACAACTTGAGGTGAAAATACTGTAATTCTAAGTCAGTCTCTTGCAAATGAGCTGAAATTTTTATAATTATTAGTAGATTGCTTAAAATTTCGATGGCAAAAGATAAATATATTAGCTGAACTATCACAAGAAAGTTGTAATAACAATCAATTGAGCAAGCGTGGAAAAACACAATGACTTTCTCAGTCTCGATGATATCTTAGTATTACATATAATAAATATTGCCATATGACCTCACACGACAAAATTTTTTATGGATATATGTAACTATGAAGAAAGTGAAGTGGATGAAACGGGGAACGAAATTGCACCTTCATAGCAATAACTTTAATTATTTCAAAGAATTTATTAAGTAAAAGCTATTTTTTTAAAGTTATTAGATTAAAACAAAAGCATTTTTTTAGTTGTTGAAATAGAAACTGTATTCATATGTAAAATCTGCACGATATTTAATTACGCACGATGATATTCGGGGTAAGCATGCGACTAGTTTTCCATAAACCTGAATACTGTTTGTTTTAACTTTTATTTAGCTCAGTATATCAGCATATTTTTAAAAAATTTCTGCTTTCTTTTGCATACGTGTGCAAGTGGTTAGTAATTTAAGGACGTTAAAATGAACTTGCTCTTGGTTTCAACCTCTTTCGTAGAGAATGCATATCACCATTCTTAACTTTACTCCAGAAAAATATTACTTTGTTAATTCAGAGTAAATTTGTAACAAGAATTTTTACCCACATAAGCGATATTACAGAGCTGATTAATAAATAATTTGAGTATTGAAAAATTTATTTGAGTAATTTTCCACCATCTAATAGAGGTATATAATTAATTTTATAAAATTGCAATTTATTTTTCAAAGTGGCATTGCTTTTCAAATGCAGTAATTGTTTCATCGTAAATTTTTCAAATCAACTATAATCGCATACTTGCCAACTTTTAATCCTTTCGTGAATAGTTTTCCCCATTAGTGCTAAAATGGAATTTGAATTACAATTTTAGGTAGAAACATACGTGATATTTTGAAGTAGCTTAAGCGGACAACCACGATTCGTTCGTTCGTTGTTTAAGAACTGGCATCTGAGGCCAAAATTGTCCCTTTCCCCATTCATCATGAAGTGATGGAAACATTACATGAAGACTGGATCCACTGATGGGAGGTGTCATGAAGTAAGGAAAGGATGGCACTTTGCCATCATGTTGAAAAGATGAGATGTAGGCGAAGAAAAAACTGTAAGGTGACTGGAAAGGAGTTGAGTGGCATCAACAAAAAAGTAGTCTGTTGTACTTTGAAGTAAACATTTCGCTGTTTGAATGATTACTTATTTCGATGAGATAATTTACAAGACCAGTCTTCGCTACTAATTTAACCCGGAGGAACCTATCGGTCGACAGTAGAGTTTAGTTTCGCAAGACCGCAATGTGAAACATGCCTCTACCAAACGGGTTCAAGCGCAAATGGCCGTTTGTTCCGACAGGACCTAATTGTTACTACCATGAGGTCGATGCAATCATCACATTCTTTAGTCAAAGCAAAACAATTTACTTCGTTGACAGGGTTTGGAAATTACTTTATCAAAATGTTCTGTCATTAAACATTGATGTGTGAACTACATTGCAGAAGTTCTGCACTCTGCAAACTTGCGTCAAAACTGTTACGAAGGAGGAAAGGAATCATCCCAGAGGCAATCTGGAACTCTTCATATATCATCCGCTGGATCGACCTCAGAATCGGACAACCCGCAAGGCGTCTCAATCAGGAATCGAATGGTGAAATGGTTACTGACAACCACAACAGTATTACATATTAATATATATGCTTAATTTTTTAAAAAATATCGGTGGTCAAAAAGATTATAAATTAAGTTTATGAATGCAAGGAATATATGGAAAGCATACATTTTACTACCACATAAAATATAAAAAGAAAATTTACGTCAAATACGTAAATGTTGGCAGGTATGTAATCGCGAAAAACTTGAATAAGTAGAGATTTAAGCAAAAAAAGTTACTGTAGATTTTCATTAAAAAATTCAACACAAAATAAATCTTACTTAACTTATTTATAATAACTTTTACGATTTCAATTTTATGTAGAATTCGATTGTATTTTCTTACATATTTTCTACAGTTGAGGTGAACGAAATAACGGTAAGAAATGTTGGGATAAAAACTAAGCTATTTCTCATAAAAAAAATTTCTTCTATTGGAAGTAAATACTATTATGATTTAATATCAGATTCTTAGTGTAGAAAATATGATATAATGTTGCTTTCCCCACCACAATGTTTGAATAATTTTAAACTTCGAAAAAAAATTAATTGACAAAATTAACTAAAATTTAAAATAATTTTATTTTGATTTATTTATTAAAGTTTTAGTTCTTATTAAACGACTATTCTATAATTTTTTTAAAATTTCATATAGCATTTAAACACTTGCTAACTCGGAGCTCCCAACAACTTTTGAATTTAAATGGAAATAACATAAAATTGTATTAATTTATTGTATTTTGCCAGCTCAAATCTCTCTGCAAGATTAACAGCATTTGGATGGCTGTTTAAACTGTTTATGTATAGTGGTTTTTAAAGCCAATGTAAATCAAATTTGTTTGATTGAAAATGAAAAGTGGACGTTTAATTTCGTTATCTCTTTATTTGTTCGAGAAAAATCTCTCGCCAAAAGTGGAAGAAGTTGGCGAGATAAATTTAATGCTAATAAGTACAGTGCCTGTTGATCAGTTATTGATATCAGTTATTGATAAGTTATCCATTACGAAGCCATGCTCTCAATTTGATAATGCAATATTATTACTTTGAAGTGATCGAAGAAAAATGAATATCGAAACTTCTTTAAAACAAACTCGAAACTTTCTTAAAAATTATTTAATGTAAGTCATCTTAATTCGTTACAGATCACTGAATCTAAAAATTTTAAATTTAAAAGTTTTTTTTTAAACCAAAATACTTAGAAATCTGACTTGCATGTCTTAAAACTAGTTCCCTACTTCCTAGGTTATAATATGTAAATTAAAATATGACATAAAAATACTGTAATAATATTTTAAATTGAGATATACTTATAAAATATCCCATTTTATGCGTTTAAATAATTGCAACAGATTGCAGCACAACCTCACATTATTCTTAACATATGCTTTAAACCATGAAACACTAAAAAAACTTTCTCTTCCATAAAGTTTAATTGAATCCCTTAATAAATTCATGTTAAAAAAATAGAATGTCAAAAATATACTTTAATTAACGAAATTTTCTATCACTTACAAAAACATAAGATCAATTCTTCGGATGCTAACTGTTGTTGTGATATCATTTATTAGTTAATATCATAATTAGAAATAAATCTAAGGCAAATAATATGAAGTTCTTAGAGATTTTTACTGTCTCAAGGTACAACACTTTCCCCAATTTTTTCCCTCTTCCATCACCAATTTCCCCTATTTTTAAAAATAACATAAGATAAAGATTAAGGTAAGAAGAATATAAGATAAAGGTTTTGGCAAGATGAAAAAAATAGCTTAAGTTAGGTGCAAAGAGAAAGGTAGGATAAACGTATGGAATAAATTTTAAGTTTAACCCCTTACACACCGGTTGTAAAGCTTTCATATCTCCCTTTGCTGGCATGCAGAAAGTGTTAGCTATTTGCTAGTGTCTAGGTAAGGCGTAAAGTTCAAAATGATACGACAAAAACATAAGAAAATGAAAGGGCTAACCTGGAACACATTTCGTCTAAAACTAGTTGTACAACGCGTAATATTACATCAACATCATTCATCTAGCGTAATATTATATCAAAAACATTTAGCGGATTATTAAATGGAATGAAAAAACGATACACTGCAGCAGGAGAAGAAGTAGAGAGTTCTTCGTTAAACAATTTTCAAAAAGTCGCTTACAATTTGAGAATTCTTAAACTGTTTAAAAAATAGTTATGGAGTAATGCGGAAAGTAAAAAAAATGCAATGTTCATCCAGCAATAATTTATAATCTAAAAGAGAATTTGATAAGAGCGTAAAGAAAAACTACGCGAAGAATGCTTAGAAAGACTTTTAAATTAAAAAATGAGCAAACGTCGTAAAGAAAATCATAAAATGTTTCTGAAAAGTACTATATTTTGAAGTAAGCTCATGGAATAGCTATATTGATTTGTTATTTGAATAAAATCAACAAAGCTTATTAGGACAGAATAGATTACAAGTAATTTGGCTGCATATTTCTTTTTATTCCGTGGAGGACTTTAAACACTTGATTTTTTTTCAAAAGGTGGGTGCGATGATAATTTCTGCAAAGATGGTTCAACCTGCAAACCTCAAGGAAAAGATTATAAGTGTATATGCCCTCCCTTTTTTGAAGGAAAAAACTGCACTAAAGGTAATTAATTATACGCATTTGTTTGTTGCCATTTATTTTACTTCAGTGTGTTTAAGTAAATTATTAAGCAAAAATATTCTCTGCAGTTACATATTTCATTATTTTCATTAGTTTTATTATTTTTTACTACTTATTATTTTTTACTACTTATTTAAGAAAGTATTTTCATAGTTTTTGTTGTTTTTTTACGAATATTGCAGAGTTTTTTATTTTTTTGAATGCTTAAATATGGTAATTGCGAGTGGTTTTTATATAAAATAATTTCAGTTTTCTACACTGATGGATAAAAAACTCCTTCAGTTAATACAATTTATTTAATTACAATAATCATTCAAATTAAAAATCCTTTGAAAATGGATTCTATTTCCTCTACTTTTAATTTATGAAGAGTTATACTTATATATCAATTGTATTATAAGTAATTAATACACAATTAACACAATAATTAATAAATATTATGCAATATTTGTTTTATTTTATTATGTGTTTTGCTGAATCTAATAACCAGAATTTTGTTTTTGAAATTTTTTTAATGTTTAAGTTTTAGGATTGCTTATAGCCTTCAGAGATGCCAACTGCTCCGGACACGCTAAAATAATTAACAAAAACGGTAAATAGCTACTAAGTAAATTTTGCAAATAGTTGATTATTTTTGCTTGCTTTTTTAAAGGCATATCATGACATAATTATTATAAAGTGGTGTATTATATAAGCCTACGAATTATTTAGAAGTAGTGGTGGATAAAAATCTACTAAATTGAATTTATTAAACTAAGAATGACAATTGATAAACTACCACTTTAAAATGTATAACTGCTGTCCGGGGCAAGTTGGCATCTCTGAGCCTTTGTGCTTTTGAGTTTGGTAGCTAGGTTGAATAAAAAATATTCCAATGAATAAAATGAAACAAAAAATATTAAGAGATATTAAGTAATATCTTAATAGAAGAAGAATTGCACCCATTTTATTCGTAGGAACTTAGGACACTTTGCTTTTTCCTGTTAATATATTATGCTTAAACTTTTTTTCAGCAAGTTGCGCAAATAACCCTTGTAAAAATGATGGAAAATGTGAAGTCAAAGAAATCGCCGGTGTGACAGCAGGTAGATGCACTTGTAAAGCTCCCTTTGATGGAGATACTTGTGAGACAAGTAAGTATTAACTCAAGATGCTCAGCAAAGGACAATCTGATTTCAAACTTAAAAATCTCGAAAACGGAGTGCTGTGGAATAATGAAGTTAACAGTATGCTTACGACGAAAATCTAAAAACTAGGAAATTAGTAACAGCAGTTGCCGAAAGATGACGCTGTAGACTGAAATCATGTTGAAACAGCAATCATTTTGATCTGAAAATATTGTGATTCCAGTAATTGTTCTGTATTATTTTCAAGAAGAGATTGTATTCTCTTCAGGAAGAACAGCACAATCTGTCGGTGAATTTTGTTACTAAACTGGAATTGTCAGTATAAGATTCTTAGAGTTAATTTATTTCTATATCGTTCTTTGTTTTCAAGACTTTAAGTTTTGAAAATAGTCAGTTCTTAGCTGGGCATACTGAATTATGACAATGTATATGCGACTATTGTTTTAAGAATATCGCAAGTAAAAATTTAAAATTTTTATAATATTATTAACTAAAGCATGACTATATTTCTTTTATAATTTAAAAAAAAATCTGAGTATGATGCAATGCACAGTGGGCCAGCATTCAAAATTAGTATTTCGATAAAATTTGTTTCAAAATTTGAGGTTCTTTATTTAGGGTTTTTATGTGCAGTTAAATTGAATTCATTACTGAAATTTTGAAATACACTAAAAATACCAAAATAAAACAAGATGGCGGCTGAAATATGGCCAGCAAAAAAAAAAAGAATAATATATAT